CAAAAAAAAAAAAAAAAATTAAGGAAAAAAAAAGAGAAATAGGGACAAAATAGTTAAGTGCTTTTCAAACACTTTCTTTCCCCTCTTTAGAGTCTCCCTTACTCTTGCCATTAGACCAATAGCCACTCCCAGCGCTGCCCACTGGGAGGCATACATCTGACCACACTGCTGAGATGCTTGTGGTTTACCACCCCAGGGGTAATCCTTGCAGCTCAGGGTTGAGAAGAGGCCACCTCCCAAGACAAAGACAGAAACGGTGGGTGGCAAAGTTTCAAGCACTGGCTGCAGGCCAGAGGGAGGATATTTCTGCGTGTGTTAGAGGTAGGAGGGAAGCTGTCTCACATTCAGCCCTTTGCAGGAAGCCCTGGCAGAGGGCAGTGTGGTTTTCTCTTTATTTTCTCTTCTCTGAGCTTTGTTGTCCGTCTGGGCAGCAGGCTCTGAATTCAGCATTGTTTGGAGAAGGGAGATACTGTGAGATGCGTGTAAGCAGCTGGATAAATTAGTAAGATTCTGTCTCATTAATGTGGGATGAAGAAAAAAGCTCCTTGCCTCTCCAAGTTTGCTAGCACGCAGCGCCCAGCCGGGCACCACTCACACCTGGTAACAGGTTCTCAGTAAAAGCTATTCTCTTCCTCTGAGAGTGTGGAGAAATGAGCAGGGCAGGGCTCAGAAATTCTGAGCTGGTTAAAACCTCAACTTGTCTAGCCAGTTCTGCTCCAGGCTGCTGTAGGCTGCCACTTTATGTGCAACAGGCATTTTTGTACATATTCGTGTTCTTCGGCTCTCAGTTTGTTTACGCTGCTCGTTTGCAAACAAATCTGTCCCTGTATATACCAGACAGCCCTATCGAATGTTGTTGTATCACCCTGACATTGTCAGACTTCCTTCCTAGCACTTATATGGAAACATTAGTCACTCAGTCGTGTCTGACTCTTTGTGACCCCATGGGGTGTAGCCCACCAGGCTCCTCTGTCCATGGAATTCTCCAGGCAAGAATACTGGAGTGGGCTGCCATGCCCTTCTCCAGGCGACCTTCCCAACCCAGGGATTGAACCCAGCTCTCCTGCATTGTGGGCAGATTCTTTACTATCTGAGCCACCAGGGGAGCACCCTAGAACATATATGAAATGATCCTATTTACTTATACATTTACTTGATTACTTGTTATCTAATGATATTAGATAATATTCTAAGGTTGTCTCCCTTAGAATGTCACCTCTTTGATAGAAATTTTGTCTTGTTCACCACTTTGTCTACCAAAACAGGATGTTTGTGGAGATAGATTGCATGAATGACCATGCACACGTTTGTCTTCCAAAGGAGAGGGCAGACAGGTCAGTGAGACAACTGCTGTGTGAAGGGTCCAGAGCCAGTTCTTCTCCAAGGCATGGGACCCCACTGTGGCCCTGACTGCACCACACTGATCTTCCCCCCTGTTTTCTGTTCTTTCTTTCTTCCTTCCTTTCTTCAATATTTATATTAACATATATATTTGTTTGTTTTGTTTTAATACCTTTACTTGGGATTTGGTTACAAAAGTAGCACATACTTGTTATCTTTTCTTTTCTTTTCTTTTTTTTGGCCACAGCCTTGTTTTGGCTGTGTAGTTTATGGGATTTTAGTTCCCTGACCAGGGCTTGAAACCGGGTCACCACACTGAAAGCACTGAGTCCTAACCCCTGGACCGCCAGGGAATTCCACATGCCAGTTATCTTTTAAAATGCACAAGTATATATTTTTAATAATGGAAAATTATCCCCTTCCTTTCATTGCCTCTTTCCAAAGGCAACCAGGCTGGCATTCAGATGTATATGCTCCCAGTCTTTCCTGGAGCACAGGGGAGTCTTCACCACTCCCCCCACCAAGGCTGCACAGTTTCAAGCTGAGGACATCTGCCTCCTCACTCCTCTCCCCCTTTCGGAGAAAAAGTCTCCAAGTTCTGAGATTTCTCAGAAACAAAACACCACAGCTTTCCACATTCCTTCTGTGCTCCCCACCCTCCTCCTTCAACCAAACAAAGCAAAACAGAACACAGAAATGCCAAGGAATGATTAGAAAAACTGTGAGCTCCCGACTCAGGCAGATCTGGATGGAAATCCTGCCATACCATCTGTCAATGTCCTTCGACCCTCTCTGAGCCTCAGTTTCTTTGTAAGAGAAAAGATGATTTACTTATAAGATTGGGTTGGGACAAGGGTTAAACTGGGCAACAGACAAGGGCTGGTGCGTGGGAGGAGATTTCATAACTTAATTTTCCTTTCTTCCCAATATCATTCCCAGGCCAGTTGCAACTGCTTCCCTGTCACTTTTGTTTTGCTAGAGATGAAGAACACCAAGGTTTCTTTTCTTTCGTAAATACGTCATGTTGTTCATCATCTCCTCTCCCTTCCCTTCACTGGGTTTAGTACTTCTTTCCTCAATTCCCCATTTCCCCATCAATGTTCTCAGGGCCTATTTACAGAGTCCCAAAGAAATTGGGCTTCAGGTGGAAGAAAAAGGGGGACCAGCAGTGCCCCCCCACCCCGGCCCCTGTGGCTGCGGCTCCAGGACTTCAGCCAGGAACATCCCACTCCCTGTTTGTGGAGACCACAGCCAAAGCTTGGGCAGCGGTTACACAGTCGCCTGGCTGTCTAGCTGTTAACCTGATAACCTATCACCTCTAATACTTACTGTGCTTCTCTGGGGCTTGGAACAACAGGAGGAACACACCCACCCCTCCAGCCTTCCCAAGCACCCTGTTTGGGGCTGGGGGATGCCCAGAGTCAGGGCGTCATGCGGGGCCACCCAGGTGAGTAGACTGAAGTCCAACTCGCCCAGCTCTGGCTGGCCTCGGTTTCAGGAAAGGGATCCCTGAAATTACTGAGAAGCAGCTACGGGCACTCAGGAGACCCGTGCTGACTGGGGTACAGTTCACCCCAAGCCCTGTTCGTGCCCCAAGAAGCAAATACACCAAGGGCGCTTCTCTGTTATCATTATCAGTCTGAACCCTGACCCTGGATTGCCTCTACCTGCAGCCTGATTGGGACAACTTTCCCCAGAACTTTGCAGGCTCTGGAGTGAGGATTCTGAGAGAAAATCACAAGAAGAGGCTAGAGGTGAGAGTAGGGAGCCGCAGGGCATGAGAGAACTTGCATTGCGTGACAGACTCTGGGAAAAGCAAAATAATATACCTTCATTGAAGTTAAGAACTTTTGATAAGGGCGGGGGTGTGGTGGGCTGAGGGTTCTTTCTCTTTCAGATCTTGCCTGTTAGTCTCCCTCAATCCAAAAAGTAGAAAAGTAGAGAAGAGGTAGGCAACAGAGACCCCAGGACGAGGGAGGCCAGAGGGATGGGGCAGGGTGAGTGGAGGCAGCCTGGGAGCAGGGAGCTGGCAAAGGTGAAGAGGCAGTCCTCAGGGGCCACCCCCGGGGGACAGCTGCACCCCCTTGTCAGCTGCCTGGGTGACAGTACAACGGCGAGGATGTAGAAGCAGCAAAGAGCCAAGAGGGGCTGAGTGGCGCTGGGGACCTGGGATAAGGGAGGACCCCGGTCATGGGCAGCCACAGAGCATCTTCCCTGAGTCAAGTGATCCCTCACCCATGGGAACCAGGAGGCCAGACACCCATCACACTGAAGCCCAGTCTTGCTCTCCTGCCTGCCACTCTGGTTTGGAAACCCTGTGGCTCTTTTCTACTGGCAACCTCAAGCCCAAACATTGTTGCTTTCACTCTCCAATAAAAACTTCACCACACAGCTTTCATCCAAGGAGATGAAAGAGGCTTCCTGAGACCAGAGCCAGCAGGTTCCTAGAAGAGGGGGGCAGGGGTTACCCCAGTCATGTGGCCAAGTTTGATGAGAGAGGGGGCCCTTGGTTTCGAGATGGAGAGCAATTTGCCAGGGTCCTCTTGTCCAGCTCTCTAAACCCTCGCTCCCCAGATGAGGGCAGCCCCCAGAGAGTTAAGGGATCAGGCTTCAACCATGCCTCAGTTCTTGAGCAAGTAGGTGTCATTTGCCTAGGGGCTTGGACACTATATTAGCAGACTCAGCAGTCATGGAATCCTCCAGTTGGAGAACTCTTTCCTGGATAGATGGAGAGTCTGAATTTTAGGGCCTGTCACGGTCAGCTAGGGACAATGGCATCACGCTGGACTGTCCTTGGGCCCTATTATGCTGCCCTAAGGAGTTATTGTGGCACCAGGCTGGGAGATGAGGGGGAGGCATTCCACTTTCACCTTCTGAGGTTTATGAGGGTAGTAGAGGGTAATGAGGAGCACTGCCAAGTTTCCTTCCACTTCAAAGCTTATGAGGCGTGAATGGGTCTGGGGAAGGTGCAACCTGTACACACAGCCCCACCCTGGCTCCTGTCAGGGCAGCTGCGGTAGCAAGACACGGGTGAGCAGCCTTGGGGAACACAGATGTCTAGAATAAGAAGGAACCTCAGGAGAGAGCTGACCCTGGCTACGAATGGGGGAGCAAATGAGCCCACAGTCTTCAGAGTCTCTGAATGCCAAGAGTCAGGTCCGCGTGCAGAGATGAGCGTTTAGCGATCCAGAAACGTGTGAGCATACACACTCATGCAAACACTCACGGCCATGCCCACAAAGGCATAAAGATTCTTGCCGGTACACAGACGTGCACAGGCACACACACACAGAGTCACAGATTGTGACACACAGGCACCCTCACACAGCCACACAGACACAAATACACACTCCCGCAGGCACACGCATGAAAGTACACACGCAGGCAGCACACGGGTATACAGGAGCGAGAACCCGCCCAGATACACAAGAGCACATGCCCAGGCACCCACCCCACTAGAGGGAAACGAGCCCAGACACAGCGCACATCTGCACACGCTCAGGTTCCTTCACACACACGCTTGCACTCTCACACAAACAGCTGCCCAGGCCATTTGAAAGTGCCCCAGCTGGCCAGCCGCTACCCGTCATTCCCTCCCAGCTGCGGCCCGGGCCCTCCCCCTGCCCCGCCCACCCCAATTGTTTGTATAAATCCCGTCGTTCAGGTGCCCTCTTCCCGCACAGCCAGCCAGCCTGGACACCTGCACAACCTTCTCTCTCTGCCCACTTCTGGCAGACCCCTCGGGAGCAAAGCGCACCAGCGAGCAGCATGGGTAAGGAGGGGGGCTTCTGACCACCGTGCGCTGCCCGCCGCTGGCCCGTCCCCCACAGGAAGTGACCGAAAACCTGGAGCGGGAGCTGGTTAGCGGAGGGAGCTGCCCAGCTCTGCTCCACCGTCGCCACCCCAACCCGCACCCCTGCATTTCCCAGAACCAAAGTTCTGGAATCGTCCATCTGGGAAGGCAGAGGGACTTCTGGGAAGGGTGACCTTGGGCTCCCACCCAGCTCCCCAGCTGCAACCTGGGACCAGGGCGCCTTGCTGCAGCTGAGAAAATATGTCCGGGTGAGGGCACTTAGGAGCAACTGTACCCTCTCTGACAGTTACCATAGGAGACTGACAGCCCTGATTCAGCCCTAGGCCAGCTTCTCACCGTAGGGACCAGGGAACCCGGCCTTTCGTGGCCAGGTCACTCTCTAGCTATCCTGCCCCACCAATCACTCCAGGAGGGAGATCAGGGAGCCCCCACACTCTCTTAAAACGGGGGGCAGGGGAGAAGGGGTGTTTCAGACTGTTTCAGTGCCTCCCACCTTCTCAGTCCTCCAAGTCTCCAAGCTCTCCTATTCCCCTATCCATGGACTTCTTGATGTCAGGCTGAGGAGGAGCCTGGGTCTGCTTGGGAGAATTGAGGTTCTTGCCTGTTGGGACCTGGCTCTTTCCTGTACTGGTGGAATGCCCAACAAGCCAGCCTGGCTTTGGAAGAACCCCTGGACTCATCTCAAACCCAAAGATATCTGAGATGATGCTTGAGATCCTTAAGATAGATGCTTCCCCAGAAAGAGGACTGATGCTCAGTGGAGTCTGAGTGGCTCACAGGGCCTGACCCTGACTGAGAAAAATGCTGTGGGCATTGGGGAATGGGGCACTTGGGCTCTGGGATGGGAGGATGGTGCTTAGGGGCGATAACCTCCTTCACAACACACCTCCTTCATACCTTTACTTCTCAATCTCTGGTTTTGCAGTTTTTGTATCTCTGTCTTGATGTCTTGGAGTTGGTTTTTTTTTTTTTTTTGGCTGCATGGGGTCCTGGTGGCGGCACGAGGGATCGTTTAATTGCAGTGAGGGTTCTCTAGTTGTGGTGCACGAGTTCCAGAGCTGTGGGCTTAGTAGCCCTACTGCCTGCAGAATCTTAATTCCCCGACCAGGGATCGAACCCACATCCCCTGCACTGCAAGGCGGATTCTTAACCAGTGGACCACCAAGGAAGTCCCTTGAGGTCTTGGAGTTTTGAACCTCCTTCCATTCTGTTTCTGGCAACCTCCTTCTCTTCCCCCTTACCTCCTGTGCCAAACCCTGACACAGCTTGGTTGCAGAGCTGAACAAGTATTAATTCCTTGGGGCTGGGCCTCACCTGTCCCATCCCGGCCCAGCCCTCTCTCTGGGCACCAGGCACTGCCTTGGATCTCTGGCACAGCCCTACCCATATTTATACGACATTTCTCACCTGAAAGTACTTCTGAATACTTTGTCTTGTTTGGCCTTCACAGCCACTTAGAGAAGAAGGTGAGGTATTATTAGCCCCTTTAGGCAAAGAGGAGAAAATGGAGAGAGTAGTTGTCAAACCTGGACCTTGAAACCTCACTCTGGACTCTACAGTGCTGTCACTGCCTTTCAGACTCTTAAGTCACGTGGCTGCTGCAAGTAGGGGACCTGGCTCCTTGGCTGAGAGCTGAGCCCAGGTACCAGTGGAGGTTGGACTCTGGAGCAGTGGCCAGGCTGGCCATGCTCCAGGCAGGGAGGTCATGTCAAGTTCTGTGAACTTCACTCCAGGGTTTCTTTCGGCCTACAGCTCCCTCTGTTTATTCCTCAGCCCTTCCTCCAGGTTAGGCCCCAAAACCTGATGCTTAATGCCTAAGTGGTAGTCCTCCCTGTCAGGGACTGACTTTGGTCGCCTAGATCCATGTGGCTTCTCTTGCCAGCCTTCAGGGGACAAGGAGGGCCACTTCCTACAGCTCTAGTGGTTGGGCATCTGAACTCTCCAGGGTTGGTTTACAGATAAACCAAGTGGATGGGGCCGACCCAGGGGTAGAAACTGGTCTAAGGATCTTCAGCTGGTGTCAGTCTTGCAGCCTTGAACTTCAGCCTCCTATCCCTTCCCAGACTTTTGGTTATATAACCCTAGCGCTGGCTGGCAGCCTGAGGTCAGGACCCAGAGGGGAGGGAAGCAGGAATTATCCCAGCTCCTAGCTTAGATGCCTTTCAAGTGAAATGAGATGAACAGGCGCCACCTGAGGGCTGTTCATCAAGCACAACCAGGGTTTACTGGCTGCTCCCAGGCCAGTACACAGCCTCACGCTTGACTTCAACTGCTGTTTTATTTCTCATACAAGCCCGCTGTGGTATTCTTATTACCCTCTTTTTACAGATGATGTGAAAACTGAGGCCAAGGAGGTTAAGTGATGTGTCTAAGTTCCCATGGCCAGTCAGTGACCAGCTGAGATGGGGATCCAAGTCAATGTCATAACCATTGCACCACACAGCCTCCCCTGCACTTACCCTTCTCCTGCCTCCCCTGGGTGCTGCTTGAGTGTCTGTGCACCTTCAAGTTGTATCTCTGCAACTCTTCCCACCACTCCCACACACTCAGGAGGGTCTGGAGGGGACCTGGGACGGTGCCTCTGCCTTGGCCAGTGGCGGGATGGGAGGGCTGGGGGTTGCAGCATGCAAGGAAGGAGCCTTCGCCCTCCAGAGTGTGGTCCAGCCAACAAGCCCCATTGTTTCCACAGCGACCAAATGTGGGAAGTGCGGACCTGGCTACCCTTCCCCTCTGGAGGCCATGAAAGGTACGTGTGAGAAGGTTGAGATCCAGCATCCTCAGGAGTGGGCAAGCCAGTACCAGTTACTGACCCTGTTGCTGGCACACCCTGCCCTGGTCTGGCCCTCCTCCCCAGCCTGTCACCCCCACTGCCTGCTTTCTACCCTCCAGGACCCAGGGAGGAGCTTGTCTACCTGCCCTGCATTTACCGGAACACGGGCACTGAAGCCCCGGATTACCTGGCCACTGTGGATGTTAACCCCAAGTCTCCCCAGTATTCCCAGGTGAGGTGGGGCTTGGACACCAGGGGCCCTAAGACCCCCCTCTAGGTGGCCGTGACAATGCCCTTCCCCACTCCATCCTTCTTCACCCCCCCTGGCTCTGGTGGTTCAGGTTGTTCATTGCACAAGAGTACCCCCACCCATGTGCAAGGCCAGTGCTAGAATCAGGGCTGTGCTTTGCTGCCAGCTGCAGCAGGTCCAGGGGGCCCCTTTTTGAAAAGCGCACAGAGGCATGGTCTGGATAAGCACCACCCATAGCCCCTCTCCTCTGCTAGGTCATCCACCGGCTGCCCATGCCCAACCTGAAGGACGAACTGCATCACTCAGGATGGAACACCTGCAGCAGCTGCTTCGGGGACAGCACCAAGTCGCGCACCAAGCTGGTGCTACCCAGTCTCATCTCCTCCCGAGTCTATGTGGTGGACGTGGCCACCGAGCCCCGCGCTCCAAAGCTGCACAAGGCACGTCCTCTGCCCTAGCCAGCTCTGAGCCCCTAATGGGCTCAGCACCTGGGGCAGCCTATGGGCAGGAAAGCCACCCCTAATAGCAGCAGCCTCGGGCTCCTGCGCAGGGTCAGGCTCAGCAGCAGGGAGCAGGGCTGGACTTTGGAGGAGAGTTACCGGGTGCGCTGGGTCATCATCACCCAGGGGCACCACAAGGGAGGAAGGAGGCTCTTGTTTTTCACTCTGAGCTTAAGGAGCCATTTTTTCACCAGTCAGTTAGTGAGCCCAGGGTTTCCCTTAGGCGGAGCCTCTGATCCCTCCTTTCAACACTTTGCTGAGTGCCCTCTTTGTGCCAGGCACTCACTGCTGGCTGCTGGTGATACAGAGTTGACACTGGCATCTTCCCAGCCTGGGAGGAGCTTATGGTCTCAAAGGGCTGTGAATGCCCTCAAGACTGGGGAGGAGCGGGGAGGAGGGAGGAGAGAAATTCCAGCTTTCAGCCAGAGAGTTGTCAGTCTCTGACGCTGCTGCTGGTCTGCAGACTGAATCTTTGCCATATTCCTACAGGGAAAATTGTGTCCATGTTTGAAAGGAAAAGAGGGTGGGTCAGCAAATAGAAGTGTGGGAGGGGAGGAGTGAGGAGTGGAGACTCCTGGCCCTGTTAGTTTCTGACATCATTCCTTACCCCTCTCCAGGTCATTGAGCCCAAGGAGATCCATGCCAAGTGTGACCTGGGCTACCTCCACACCAGTCACTGTCTGGCCAGTGGGGAGGTGATGATCAGTGCCCTGGGAGACCCCAAGGGCAACAGCAAAGGTACTGCAGGCACAGCTGTGAGGGAAGCGGATTCCAAACACGGGAGGGGTGGAACGACCTTCCAGGGAGAATCGAGGGTTGGGGGTCTCATCCAATATTTAAGTGATAATCATGTAACCTTGGTCTTCCCAGGGGGCACTAGTGGTAAAGAACTTATCTGCCAATGCAGGTTGATGTAAGAGATGTGGGTTCGATCCCTGGGCCGGGAAGATCCCCTGGAGGAGGGCAGGGCAACCCATTCCAGTATTCCTGCCTAGAGAACCCCATGTTTTTCTGGGGAAATCCCCAGAACCTCTGTTTATGGACAGAGTAACCTGGTGGGCTGCAGTCCATAGGGTTGCACACAGTCAGACAAAACTGAAACGACTTAGCACACATGTGTGTAACTTCAGTTGTTTCAATTATTTTTATGAGGATGAGCCTTGAATGATGAATTCACTTACAAGTTCTGGTCTGCCATGGGGAACGTGAGAGAGTACAGACATGGCCGTAGAAAACAGATACATTTAATACCAGCCTTCCCAAACTCAAGAGCAAATCTCACAATCCTTGGGATCCTTAACTGTCACAGCTACTTGCTCACTTATGGTGTGGTCAATAGCTTTTACATGAAATGTCTACTATGTGCCAGACATGACCTATGAGATAGATGCTACTGTGATCACTGTTTCACATGTCAGGAAACGGGCACAGACTGGTTAAGTCAGCAGCTATTAAGTGGCAGAGCTGGAACTCAAACCCAGCAGTATGGCCCCTGTTTATGTCCTAATCACCGTGCTATACTGCTTCTCTGCCAGCCTCACCTGTTTCACCAGAGCTTTCCATCCAAGGGGCTTGGAGTGAACTATCAGTTAAGGTCATGGATGACCTTACTGATTACTGCATTAGACTGCAGTAGATTACTGCATTAGACTGCAGTAGATCAAGGTTACTGCATTAGACTCCATTTAACTGCTTTTTCCAGAAGATGGGTTGCATGACATTCCAAGATTTAAGAACACTTAGGAGTAGACATCTATTTACATTTGCAAAGAAATGGCAAGGTGTCACAACCTACTCAGCTAGGGAAAAACACAGTGGGCACTCATGTCGAATTACAAATAAATAGCATTTTCTCTGTCTAAAAAAATGTAGTGAACAGAATGCAGTTTAGACTCTGGCAGGAATCCTACACTGAAAGTAGGAGGCTGGGCAAAGGAAGCATAGGGCACGGAGTCCCAAAAGATCCTGGCACAAGGGAGGAAAAATGAACCCTGTGGTCTGGGAGAGGGATGAACTGATGAGAGGCAGGACACCGAGCAAGTCCCCACCTTTCACCCGGCCTTCTGGATGGGACCCTTTGGTCGGGTGGCCAAATCCAGCTCCTGAATCTAAGGACCTGGTAAACCCAGTGGGAGGAGGGGCACCAGGCGATGGGCTCAGAGCCTCTCGGACAGGCCTGGGGTGAGGGCTGGATGCGGGGCCTGTCTCCACCACCTCTACCTACCGCTTGACTTTCCTCACTGCTCAGGGGGTTTTGTGCTCCTGGATGGAGAGACATTTGAGGTGAAGGGGACGTGGGAGCGGCCTGGAGGTGCTGCACCTATGGGCTATGACTTCTGGTACCAACCTCGACACAATGTCATGATCAGTACTGAATGGGCAGCTCCCAATGTCTTACGAGATGGCTTCAACCCTGCTGATGTAGAGGCAGGTGAGAACCCCCTGTATACCCGTGGGCTGGCTGGAGCTTGCTCACGTGAACCCCTGCTTTCTATTCCAAACCCCCACTCTCCAGCCATCTTACTTCCCTCATGTGGATCCTGGAACCTTGGGATGATGGTATAGGATGTGCTGAGTGCTCTGACTTGCTCAAGCATCCTTCTGATCCCTCCAACCCATCTTTCATCCTTCTACCCTGGGCTGGGCCCCAGCCTTGGCCCAGGCTCTCCTGCCCTGATCCTGATTCCATCTTCCGACCACGTCTCCACCCCAGGGCTGTATGGGCAACGCTTACACGTGTGGGACTGGCAGCGCCATGAGAGGGTGCAGACCCTGACTCTGCAGGACGGTCTCATCCCCCTGGAGATCCGCTTCCTGCACAACCCGGCCGCTGATCAGGGCTTCGTGGGCTGTGCCCTTGGCTCCAACATCCAGCGCTTCTACAAGAACCAGGTGATGTGAGCTCTGGCCCTCTCCTCCCAGCAGTCCTGCCAACTCTCTGCCAGCTTCCGTACTGTGTCACTACCTTCTCCCTCAGGGTGACCCAGGTCTCCTCCTCCTCTGGCTCCACCAGCCCAGACTTCCCAGGAATTGAAAATAAGGTCACCTGCCCTGCCTCTCTCCTCTGTCCTAGGCTAATTTCTCCCTAAGCCCCAACTGGCCATATTTATTCATTCATTCTCAAAAAATATTTAGTGAGTCAGGCACTGTGCTAGGGCTTTCCAGGTGGCGCTAGTGGTAAAGAACCCACCTACTAATGTAGGTAGATGTAAAGAGATGTGGGTTTTATCCCTGGGTTGAGAAGAACCCCTGGAGCAGGGCACAGCAACCCACTCCAGTATTCTTGCCAGGAGAACCCCATGGACAGAGGAACCTGGTGGACTGAGGTTTATAGTGTCGCAAAGAGTCAGACACAACTTAAGCAACTTAGCACTTACACACACACTGTGCTAAGTGCTGGGAATACAAGGGGAAAGCAGACATGATCCCTGCCTTAGGAGGGTCCGCAGGGGAGTTAGACCCTAGTGGCAAGAAGACCCTATACCCACTCTCTCTCTGCAGACAGTACACTCTGGGGAGACCTAGACCTGACACCCATCACCCAACTCTGACAGGCTCCCCTCTCTGCCTCTTAACCCCAATGTAGGGAGGGACTTGGTCAGTGGAGAAGGTGATCCAGGTGCCCCCCAAGAAAGTGAAGGGCTGGATACTGCCCGAAATGCCAAGTGAGTGCTCGGGGGAGCATGGGAATTGGAATGTTGATTCCTGGGCTGGGGAACAGGAGTCCCTAAAGCCTCTGGACCCCACCCCCTACCCCCAGGCCTGATCACTGATATCCTGCTGTCCTTGGATGACCGCTTTCTCTACTTCAGCAACTGGCTGCACGGGGACCTGAGACAGTACGACATCTCTGACCCCAAGAGGCCCCGCCTCGCGGGACAGGTGGGGTCCCAGCAGGATGGAGAGGGAGGGAGGAAGTAGACGTCCAGACATGAGGTGGAGGGTACAAAGTACCTGGGAGATGATAAAAAAGGTGCAGGAAAAGCAGAGATGGGGGCTGAGGGATGTTCGGGCCAGAACCACAGGGAATCGTGGTTGCACGTGGGGGACGTGAGGAAGTGAGGTGCTCTTCCTGGAATGTCCTCACTGCCCACCACTGTCCTCCTTTCTGCTCTGCTCCTCCCCATCCAGATCTTCCTCGGGGGCAGCATTGTTAAGGGAGGCCCTGTGCAGGTCTTGGAGGACCAGGAGCTGAAATGCCAGCCAGAGCCCCTGGTGGTCAAGGTGAGGCTGTCTCCCCCACAGATCAGGGGCCCCTCAGATCCCTGCTGGAGAGGTATGGGGGAGAGGGCTGGGCCGCAGCTGAATAACTCTCAGGGTTTGAGGGGTGCCACTGGTTCCCATGATCTGTATGTAACCCTGGGGTCTGACCCTTGGTTTTCCCAAGGGGAAGCGAGTGGCTGGAGGCCCTCAGATGATCCAGCTCAGCTTGGATGGAACACGTCTCTATGTCACCACATCGCTGTACAGTGCCTGGGACAAGCAGTTTTACCCTGATCTCATCAGGTAAGGAGACAACCTGGGCTCCCCTCCCAGCCCTCCTCTCCCAGAGGGGTTGGGCCTCCTGAAGACTCCTCAGCTCCACTTGCAGACCCTGCTCCCTCCTCAGGAAGCCCTCTTCCCTCCCCCAACACTTACCTAATTTTGATGGAAGGAGAGGTGGCCCCCTCTGACCTCTTTCTTCTCCTGCCCTGTTTCCTCCAGGGAAGGCTCTGTGATGCTGCAGATCGACGTAGACACAGTCAGGGGAGGGCTGAAGCTGAACCCCAACTTCCTGGTGGATTTTGGGAAGGAGCCCCTTGGCCCAGCCCTGGCCCATGAGCTCCGCTACCCTGGGGGCGACTGCAGCTCTGACATCTGGCTCTGAAGCAGCCCCCCAGCCCCCGACTCTGGCTCCTAGCTGCATTCCGCATTTTGAACCCTCCATTCTGCAGAGACCTGGCTTCACTCTGCTCTCTCAGCCTCTGACCCTTAGCAGCTTCTCCTTTTAAAGCCAAACCCAGGCTGTTGACATGTAGTGAACCATGTCTCCATCTGCCTGCCACGGTCGCAAGCCGCTCACTGTGCTGTTTTTACATGAGCTGTTGGAAATGATTTTTCTAAGAAATAAACGGGTGAACCTCTTCCTGAGATCACCTTGTCTCTGGGGGCACTGGGCTCCTCCTCTGCCAACCCTTTGTATCTTGCAGGAAAGTCCTGAAGAGGACCAAGGGGCGGGGTAGTTATGATGACTAGTTCATGCCAATGATTCCGGTATGACGCTAATGGTGCCAAAATCTCACTTCTGTGGCCAGACAGAACCTGAAGATTTTGAAGGTGGTTGTCACAAGGAGAGCCAGTGTTCCTAAAGTATTATTATTTTTTTTAATCTTTGAAATTTAAAAAAAAACATTTATGTATTTGGCTGTGCAGGCTGTTAATTGTGGCATGTAGGATCTACTTCTCTGACAAGGGACCAAACCTGGGCCCCCTGCACTGGGAATGTAGAATCTTAGCCACTGGACCACTAGGGAAGTCGCTAATTTGTGCTTTATTTTAATGAACCACCCATCTCATCCACCACCCCCAGGAGGACGTAACCTGCCCTCTCACACACAGGAGATCCCCTAGAGCCCTGACATAGATGTGCTGTCAGTTCCCAATGCTGCTGACAAGACTGAGAAAACACACCAGTCCAGGGAGGTTAGGTTTGTCACCTCCTACCTGGAAGACAGGAACAAGATGGGGCAGGAAGGCTGGGACATCAAGGTAACCAACCCAGCAGACCAGGCCCAAGCACTCTTCCCCCCTTGCCTGGACGGTGTTTTAGAACCTTGCCCAAATCAGAGATGTCTCCTTTCTCTGCATTAAGTCATTAGTTGTTTGTAAGAGGAATGCAGTGGAAGTTTCAGGAATCTAAGAGGCAGCAGCCAAGCAGTAATTCCATTGACTCCTTCACTGTCTACCCAAGACAGTACCAAGCAACATGCAGGTATTAATCTACCTTCTTTTCAGTCTTCCACAAAGATGTCTTTATTCTAAATACTGGAACAGTCTGAGACCCCCAAGATGGCCAGGCTGCCCCTCTTTCCCTTTGAGGTCGTTACAGTTTTGTTTCGTTTTGACCGTGCCACGCAGCATGTGGGATCTTAGTTCCCCAATGATTGGAGGCACTGAGTCTTAACCACTGGACCATCAGGGAAATTCCCTTTCCTTGAGATCTTTAAACATGCTCCTTGAAACATCTACCTCAACTTGAGTGTTGATTCCCTCTTACTGCCTTACCTGCCATCTGGGCTAGACTGTCTTATCCCTGGGAAAACCTCCTCCCCTAATGGCTCCAGTTTAGTGACATCCTAACTTTACCTCTGGTGGCTCAGTGGGAAAGAATCCACCTGCCAACGCAGGAGACACGAGTTCAGTCCTTGGGTCGGGAAGATCCTCTGGAGGAAGAAATGGCAACCCACTCCAGTATCCTTGCCTGGGAAATCCCATGGACAGAGGGGCCTGGCGGGCTACAGTCCATGGTAGTCACAAAAGAGTCATGCAAGACTTAGCGACTAAACAATAACAACAACAAACACTTCGTCTCAGCTCGAATGTATGCCACATTATACTGAGAATTCCTGCCTACTCTCAGCATCCAGCTTCTGCCTTAATGAACAAGTGACTGTAAAGGATGATTAAGTTTCAGGGAGCCTTGGGATTTACTGGGTCTTAACAGAGTTCAAGGAGGATCCTGCCAGGCTATAGTCCATGGGGCCTCCAAGAGTCAGACATGACTGAGCAACTTAGCATGTAGCACGTAACAGAAGTCTCAGGCTTCCCAGCTGGTGCTGGTGGTAAAGAACCTGCCTGCCAATGTAAGAGATCCAAGAGATGTTCAATCCCTGAGTTGGGAAGAGATGGGCATGGCAACCCACTCCAGTATTCTTGCCTGGAGAATCCCATGGACAGAGGAGACTGGTGGGCTATAGTTCATGGGGTTGCAAAGAGTCAGACATGATGGAAGCAACTTAGCACTCAAACCCAGACAACACAAGTCTCTCCTAGGTTTCTACCCTGTCCTTTTCGATAACCAAACTTCTTCAGAAAGAACTTGCCTTGGGGTAAGCAAATAGTTAATGAGGAAAGGTCCCTTACAAAATCCTTTACAAAATGTCAGCTGGTAGGCAGGAACATGTGGTCCTGGTGAGTCACAACCTAGCACCCCAAGGCGGTCTGGCCCCAGGTGTCCTAACCTGTGGGAAGGGGTAGCCATCAGCTCCCCCAATGCATGACAGCCTTTAGGGGCTGGATTCCATGTCCCGTCAATCCCTGGGACATCAAATGCGGCCCCTAAATTGATGCTCCCAACCCCAAAGCCTCCCAACTCCCAAGCAAAAATAAAATGAAGAAAACAACCAACCAAATAACAGCAACAAAGAATTTTAGCTGGTAAATTCAGGAGTGATAGAATCTGGATGTACCAATGTGTGACCTCTAATGACAACTGGATCCAGGCAATAATCATCAGTGACTGCTAAAACCATTCAATGAAAGACCGAAATGGGGTTTCATAATGGCTAGATCAGATGATGAAACCTGAATACACTGTTCAATCTTTATATCACAAAAAGAGTACCTCCTAACGTGATGCAGTAGGAAGTACACAGCACCACGTATAAAGTATTCTTGCCAAAAAGTCAAAATTAAACTGATCAAGACTGAAGAGCTCATGGTCAGTTTACAGGAAATACAGGAGACAGAGGAACAAGTTTTAAAAGGTTAAAAACAGGACTTCCCTGGTGGTCCAGTGGTTAAGAATCCGCTTGCCAATGCAGGGGACATGGGTATGATCCCTGGTCTGGGAAGATCCCACATTCTGTCAGGCAGTTAAGCCCATGTGCCACAACTGAGCCTGCACTCTGGAGTTGGTGAGCCCCAGCTACTGAGCCTTCTTGCCTACAGCCTGTGCTCTGCAACAAGAGAAGCCACTGCAATGAGAAGGATTGCCACTGGAGAAAGCTTGCACAGCAACAAAAACTCAGGGCTGCCAAAAATAAATAAATACAAATAAATAAATAATTTTTAAATAATAAAAGGTTATTGCACTATAAAGGTGCAATTATAAAAATGGGGAATGTGGGAAATTCTATAGCGCAAACAACCAGTTTCCTCAACAAATAAACTGAGAGAATATAGATTAGAAAGATTTAAGAAACAACAACCAAAACCAAATGTAATGCAATGTGTGGACCTTGCTGTTACTGTATTGAACATATCACAGAAAAATACATTTTCTTTCAGGAAATTGGAAAAATTTGGACACCCAGTGGATATTTGATGGTAATAACAGATTATTTTTTAGGCGTGATTATGGCATTAGGACTGTGTTAAACAGAGTCCTTATTTTTAGTCATACTGAAGTATTTACATAAATCCTTAATTATTTTATATATATATAACAGCTATAATGATACAATAAATATCTATATTAAATAATCTAGAGTGAGTGAGTTGTAGAGTGGAGGAGGTCTAGATAAAACAGGATTGGCCAGATGTTGATAATTCTTAAAACAGGATGATGGGTATGTGTGTATGGGGGTTATAGTTTTCCTTCCTTTTTTCTATATTTGAAATTTTTTCATAGTAAAAACTTTATTTTTTTAAAGAAACCTCTTCACCTGCATCCTAATCCTGGCCTCATCTCACTATTTCTGCCCCTACATCACTGGAACAGACACTCCAAATACAAGAGAGGCCCTCCTGTCACCAGCAATGTGTGACCCAGTCTCCCCAATCCCTGATATATCCACCATGACAAGACCTCTCTCTGTTGTCTTCATGAAGATTCCACCCCATGGCCCACCACTGGGCTACTGAGCAATAGCAAAGCTGAGCTTGCTACATGAAAACTCTGGTATATCACACTGGGATCTCCTGCCAGCACCATGGTCAGCTCCACAAGTTGGCCTAGGAAACCATCTGGAAGGTTCTGGAGAGTTTGCTAAGCCCAGGGACACCCTTCCGCCCTGAGAAAACCTGTAGTCTCAGTCTACCATGATGAAAGATGTGAGAGTACTGGAAAGTGTCCACCCCACTGCCATTCCATCAAGCATGATCAGCCCTCCCACACACTGTGGTTGGCTCCCTAAAGGCACCTTCGGTCAACTGCACTCATCTCAGAGACTAATGAGGATAATTCTCCTTCTTGCATCTTCCATATGTTTGATTGCCTGGCTCCATGCTCTAAATATCTGCTCTTGCCCATTCTCCAGCATGCTGTTAGGAGTCCCTTCCCTGCCTTACTGGTTTTGATGCTTAGCAGGCTTTCTGCTATAAACACTACCTGACAGATGAATATGTACAATATTTTGTAAGGTTTAAAAAGTAAGTTGCAGAGATTTCCTGGTGGTCCAGTGGCTGAGACTCTGCGCTCCCCATGCAGGGGACCCAGGTTCAATTCTTGGTTGGGGAAATAGATCCCACATATCACAATTAAGAGTTCACATACTGCAATGAAGATTGAAGATCCTGCGTGCCACAGCTGAGATCTGGCTCAACCAAATAAAAAAAATAAGTACTATTTTTAAAGTTAAGTTGCAGATGGGTGTGTGCATGTGTATATACTTTATATATATATAGTAAATAATTCCCACTTTTAAGAAGAAATTCAACAAAAACTTTCATTTAGGTAGACTTGTGTTTGTAAGGACAGGGTAATGGGTGTGGAATGATACTTAGCAGAACATGTTACCTCAAAGGGGTGAAGGTTTTATAATGAAACTTGACAAGATGTTTCTAAAACTAATACAGAAATTTTAATGCACTGTTTCAGTTATCTATTGCTGTGTAACAAATGACCTCCAAAACCTAGCGGATTAATATTTTTACTCACAAACCTGGAATTTAGAAAGGGCTCTATGGGAACAGCCTGTTTCTGTTCCACTCTGTGTCAATGGGAGCAAATTAAAGGCTAGAGGGTACAGCCACTTGATTGCTCACTCACTCACATGTCTGATGACTGATGTTGGGTGTCACCTGGGACCCCAGCTGGGGCTGTGACCTACACAGGGCCTTTCCATAGCTGCGTGGCTTCCTCACAACATGGTGGCTGGTTTCCAAGGGCATGTCCCAAGAGACAGGAAAGAAGAAACTCTATTACCTGT